CTCCATCTTCACCTAACAAGACTATGTCATCTGAATAAACCAGATCTATCAAATATCCTCCCGTAATCATACCAATCACCACGAAGTCACATGATGAGAGAGACACCTCCATGAGTACGTCTATTAAAAAGTTGAATAAGAACACAGGGGGTACACATTCTTGACGGACACCATTTAATGTACACATTTCAATCGACTACTCACCATAGACACTAACATACACATACATGTTCGAGTAGAAAGCTTTTGACAGAACGATGTACTCGCGAGTTCTACTTAGACGTCTAATGATCACTGAACCTAGAATCTTAGACACTCGATTCATCAGACCGGTTTCTCTGTCGTTATCACAAGACGACTTCTCGTCTTTCTTGAAGACTAAGATAATCAATGATTCAGACCAGCTATAGGGGATAACATATAATTTCTTTATGCCAGCTATGACTTCAGTTAATTTGATCAATAGTCTGAGACCACCGTCCTTAAATATCTCCGTTTTCCGTTCATCTGATCTTGATACCCCTCTTCGTTCTAGAGTACTTGCAGCTCTCTCAACGTCGACAATAGTTGGACGCCATATATCAACATCCCATTCACGACTCAACTAGATAGCAGTTGGATTATTCTTCAGTGTTTCCCACATCATTCCAGTCACCTCCTCAGCAACTCAATTACAGGCCTACACTTTTCTACTGTAGTCTCACTAACTATTGACCTGTTTGTTCCAGTCTCCTTGATAAGTTGAAATAACTGTCTACTGTTACTGATCCCCGATGCCTTTTCCATCTCTTCAGCCTCCGCTAATCACCACTGTTCTCGATCATTCAATAGACTTATCATCAGCCTATATTTGACTTGCTTCCGTTCGTGATTGTCCTCACAGTCCACGGCAGTATGTTCGTGTGCATCCATTAATTCACAAGCTGCTGAGATCATGTGACTCTCTATAACCACTTTCTCACAGTCTCTTATGGTCTTTAACGCTGTTTCTGTAGCAGACTGGAGATGGCTACAGGCTTCTTCTGGATAAGTGTTGTTCTGTCCTGATGACTGCCTAACCGGTCTCTCACTGAAAGTAACCATAGTATTCTGATCATCGAACTCCATTCAGAATAGTCTGGCCAATGTAGGTTTTCCACGTTCATCCAGGCTTCGAGAGGTCATCGGGCCAACGCGTGCTCCAGAAAGAGGGGCAGAATCCTGCTGACCCTCTCTTACAGAAACTGATAACAAAATGTTCTACCTCTGTCCACTAACGGGCTAAGGTTGGTGGACACCGCCTCATACAATGTCTCTACTCATGTCAGAAGTTGTTGCTTCCCAGAAATAAATGGTTATCTGAGCGCAGTTCTAGTAGGCGATCACTGTTATTTGTCGCGTCACCTAAGATTTCGAGTGTCTTTTTGTCTGACTTACTCTACCCACTTGTACATTTAAATCACTCACAGCAAAAACAACGCGTAAATGTTTAGCTTTCAGGAGGCTAGATAGTTTTCGGTAGAACTCATCCTTCACTTCATCCAAACTGTAGTTAGTGCGTGTAGAGTTTGGAAAGAGGTGAATAACCACAGTTGTTATATCCTTGTCTCGTAAACACAGCACACAACTATGGCCCGAGATGCTAACTGTAATGCAGTATATGTGGAGGGATACGGACAGGTAAGTGTAAGGCTGAGGGAGCATATATTGTTCAAAGTAGATTCCAAAAATCTCAGTATATGTTAAGAAGTTGGAAGACAAATCAGCAGTTGCATTTCACTCGATATACTAACCGAAATGACACATATATCCACTTTATATGCCATGTTGCACTTACAAATAAAATTACCGAATGACTACAATGATATCTATGGCCTTTTCTGTGTCATGAAGGAGAATACGAATAACAACACATACATCATACAAAAAGAGATACAATTCCATACTGGAAGACTAGTAATCGTTAGCTTAGATAAACAATGACTATATGGAGAGGATGGGACAAGGAGTTGAAGTACAATTTGAATTCACTTATATATCTTTGATATTTCAATTTTGACCATTCCAGTGAAGGAGTTCGAACTAGATAGCCGTGTGAAACGTTGGAATTATTTTATTTCAAACACGCTGTGTCTTCAACAAACACAATCTAAAGTTTGTTAGCTTCAACTCTAAACATGAACACATCGCCGGGGCCCGTATTTCACTAGGAAGAAATGGAGTGTACCATTTTTATGACCCACCTTTTCCAACCTCCCACCTTCCCATAGGGAAGAAAACATCGGCATGACAACGTTAGCCATTTGGGGGAAACACTTTACTGGTGTCACCATCCCCTTTTGAGTAACCTATACGACTTCGCTCTTGGGCCTCCATCACAGAACGGCAGTTTACATTATACCCGTAACTACTTTTTGTCTTACCAATATCTAAATGACCTTTCTGGTAGGGTAGGACCTCGAGGGAACAAGCATTCCACCAGTATAACTCTTTGGATTACTGCGACACCGTCATCATATCAAGGTGGCAGCTATTGGCCAGGATCAATCGGTGAGTTTATACATTTAAATGATTTTTATGTTCTGGTTAGAATGCAACACATTCAATCTTAATTCGCTACATTTGGAAAACTTGGTTGTAAATTCATACAGCTTTTTCTTGTGTTGATGTGAAAAGGATTTAAGTTGGTATTCATCACGGACTGATATCAGTTGTAGGAACATTGGAAACATGGTAGCACTGGACAGCTGTTTCGTCCTAGTACGGGACTCATTGGCAACGTGCATCTACTACCCCGCCAGGGACCGGACCCAGGACCTTCAGGTTCCGTGACCTGCACGTTAACGTCGAGCCAATGGGTCGAAGTCCAGTGATCCGAATTTTCAACTTCTGTCATCTCACGACATAACGCGACCATCACCCAATGTCATCACTGAGTGTTTGTCCTTACGTTCATTAGATTTGCCTCACCGGTTACGAGTCCTCACTGGAACTTCAGGAAACCCCTCTAGAAGCTAGTCACCAATGAGCGCTCGGATTGACTCAAATTGGGGTCAGGCGCGCACTGCTGAGGAGTTCCATACTAGGACGGAACAGATATCCAGTGCTCCTAAGTCTCTAATCTTTCTCCAACTGATGTCAGTTCATGATGAATACTAACTTGAAATAAAATCCCAACGAACCCCCAAATTGAAAAGGATACAAGTAAAATAAATATAATTCAGCCTAGTACAGGTTTTCTGTACTACACTGTAAGATATGTATATATTGAGAGCCTTTTGACACATTTCGGTTACTTAAAAGGAAGTGTACTAAAGCGTGGCTGAAACCTTTTAGTGGAAGTCGTGTTTAAACCACTGAACTACAGTCCTACAAAAACCATTTTAAGAAAAACTACATTCTAGTTAAAGATAAGTTACACTTCAATGACCTAAGTACCCCGTATCTCAAACAGTAACACAATTCCCAACTCGCCTACACTTAGTAACGCAGTTCAAAAACTAAGTATCTCTAGTTTTCCCACTAAACGTAACTCTTAACCAGAGCATGAACCTGTGAATTTATTTAGGTGCACTATTAATGATGAACTGAAAATATATGATAAAAATGGACATAGCTACTGTAGCAATTCGCTACTTTATTGATGAGTGGAACCACCAGCCACTTGACAACCATCACTGACTCAACTACGAAACTCGACCGCTGAACAAGTCCTAAAATCAACTAAACAGTTTTTGAAAACAAGGACTGCTGGACAATATGAAATGATCCTCGGGGAACAACTTCATATTTTACGCATAAATTAATCGCTCGGTATGTGAATCTCCGTTACCTTTTCTTTCTGTACCAACAATGTAAAATGTTACTCTTGGGCATGTTTACTATGTGTATGAGAAAGAGTTTTTATTTCACTGGAAAATAAGCTGCTTCCTAGTTGTTCTACCTCTTTATATTAGTTTACTATAATGATGCTCGCTTCAGTAGTTAGTTTTGCTTGATACACATTACTCAGCCATAAATTCTTGTCATCTCAATCGATCGATAAGCAGTCTCAATATCACCTTAATCTGGTGTTACGAGACAGCTGTTTCATCGTTACCTCACCACTTGGTCAGCAACCACGTGCACTTTTGCGTACTAGGCACTGAGCCACATTTTATCTGAGGGGTAGTGATTTAACTTGGCTCTCAAAACTATATGGGATAGAGCGGGATTCGAATGTGGATTTTTCTAGTTGACCGTCAACCACCTAACCTACACTAGTTAGACAAGGCTTTGTGGTAAAAATGTCGAATACAACTAAGACTCACCTTATTGGGACACATCAGAGTGTGTATACCACTTTACTTGCTCTTGTGGAGCTGAGTACACCGGCTGTACCATGCATCCGACTGTATAACGTGGCCGCAAACACCACCTAGCCTGGTTGGCGAAGGGAAAACGGAAACGTATCTTCATTTCAATAGTAGAACACCTCGTGAACTCAGGCCACTTAACTCCTTTTGAGAGACCATTCAAAATTCTCTACAGGGTTCGATCATACAACTCGAAGGGAGTAAGATCAATACATCTGTCTATAGCTGAAGTTATAACCGTTCAGAAGTTCAAACAAGCGTTATGCGTCCAAACAAGGTACGTCCAAACTTTATCTTTGCCATGGTCATCATAAAGCCATGACTGTCATAGATTCATCCTGTATTAGATAACTACACATGTATTTCAGTAACCCCCTGTTTATTTTCTACTCTGTCATAGATTTAACCTGCATTGCGTAATTACAATCTTATTTTCATAACTCTTCATTCATTTTCCTACTTTGCCATACATCGTCCTATATTGCATAATTACATAATCCCTTGTCTGTTTTCCCACTCTAAACTCAAATGTGTATTAATAAACTTCCTTTAATTATTCAATATATTTTGCTCCCTAACTGGAAATAATTCTGAAATGTCCTACCATCCACTGTAAGATATATTCACGAATGTATAGCTTAGTAAATGACTTCGTCGTAAACAACAGTTTTTCTTTGCTGCAATCATGTCTTGTCAACCATATTTATCAAATATGAAAGCCAAATCTGTTTTTTTTTAAAAACTATTTCTGCTCTAAAATGAAGTACTGATTTACAAAGAAGGAAGAAAACAAAAGTGCAATTGACTACCACATTATACGAACCAATCATACACGTCGGGAAATTGGGGAGAAAAGAGAATGACAGTGCAGAAACATACACTCAAATAAGCACAAGAATCATAATAATAAATGCAAAAATATAATTACAAAATATTTCTTAGGAAGTGAGCATAAATAATCAAGTAGATGATACAATAGTTTTACGCATATACATGAATATCACAGCCAACAAGAAATGAACCAACTGTTTACATACTTAGCAAATTTTCACAAGTATATCACATAATGAACATTGAGCAATAGTGAATTACAGCGCAATATCACAATTACTCTAAAGTATTTTTTCTCCTGTATACATGAATAACAAATATTATTGATCACCAACCCATACACGACCCATATCGAATGGAAAATCTCTACTACGCATACGTCTAGTTGCTTCAATCAAACTGATTTCTCTACGGTCTAGTTCAACTTGGTGCTGCACTTCTAATGTTGCGCCTAATGGTTTATTTAAATATTTCGGTGCTGGGGTCTCCAGGATTGGACCAATCACTTTCGTACCGAATTGAATAATTCTTTCTGGGAATAACAGTCTTGACTGAATATGTAACACATTTTTATAATAGACCAGTCCAGTGATCTAAAACAAAGATATACGAGAAGTGAAAAAAAACACAACCATAAGTATTGGATGATGATTGAAGGTGAGATGAAAATCTGGACCGCGGCCGGATTCGAACCACAGACCACAACTAAAAGTTGTAATGGACATATGAATCACATATTAATTGATAGGAAATGGTCAAATATTACCATTAATGTTCAAGGTCATCCGCCGTCGGGGTAGAAGTGTTTCTGTTTCAGATTTTGATTTATGTTTATATATGTGGGGTGTTTGGTCACATTGGCTTTCAGTTCTAGTGTGCCACTGAGTTCAGTATCGTCGTTACCTACGTCTATATTCTATTCGGTCACTTCAATACCCCTACATTTACGTGATTATCAACTCAAGACAGGCAGAAATTGTTACACAGATTTTAAGCTGCAGCTTAATGATCAAATATTAGAGTACAACTCTCTGGGTCAGGGATCGGATTTCAGCTTGGAGGACAGACAGACGAAATCAACGCAGAACCTTGCACACCAGTGCATCGGTTCAAGTTGTCACTCTTCATAACAGTCACCAAAAGTCATCACACACTGATTCTTATCTTTTTGGAGACCCCAGTAGCAATATTATAAGTTCCAACATACAAAATGTGTCTGATATTCTACAAGTAATAGACGGGAATGCTTACTTGCATTATACAGCGATAGTAAGATACTGCCAATAAACAGTGTGAAAAAAATTATTAACAATTTCTGACTGAAGTCAATCTAATATGGGAACTGGCATTACTGAGTAGCGAGACAAGTTAGCATACCTCATATCAGCACAACAAGCGAAAAGACATGAATATGAAACAAAAAAAGAAATAAGGAGGAAAGCAGCTGAAAATGATAGAAAGTTGTGAAAAGAGAACGTCGAAAGTGTAAAACTAATAAAATTCGTTTTTAAAACAATTAGTTCCTTTTATAAACTTCGACAAAACAATAAGAAGACGTAAATTGTCTGAACCGTGTAATGTATTTGCGCAACACATTTCGAACTATCTGATCACACACGTACTTGTCATAGGTATTTATATAAAAACTCATGAAGATAAGGGGTGAGAAAATAAAAAGGGGTCAGGTAGGAAGGCTGACTTAAAGGCCGAATAACAATGAAAATCAATAGAGCGAAAAAATAATAGTACATCGAACTTGGTTTTTCAATAGTTGAATTTACCAAGGAAGGTTTAATGTGACAACAAATTGTTTATGAATACATAAAGGTGGTTTCAACTTCCTAATAGCTAAGGCTTCAACAGATTTCAGGATCCCTCCCCAACATGTTTTATAAATAGGTGTAAAGGAAGTAGCCACATCAATCTTGTGACCTGTCTCAACGATATGTTTAGCGATCGAAGAACTTGGACGTCTGCTACCAACATTTATAGGTTCAGGTGATTTAATTTGCTTCTGAAGCCACTTTGGAATATGTTCCGAGGCCCTTACTTGCATGGATCTATTAGTCCTCCCTATGTATGTGTCACCACACGTACATTTGAATTGGTAGATACAATGGGATGTGACATTATCGTTCACATGCTGTGGGGGTTTGGGGGAATATAAGGGCTTCGTGGTTTCGATTACTCGAACCGTGGCTGCATAGTAAGTTCTTCTAACAGCAGCGTTAAGTCTCTGCTTAAGGATTGCACTCTGAGAGTCACCTTTGTACGGAAGGCTGATGAAGACATCCTTCTTTGGGACTGACTTCAGTTCTAGTTTTGACGCTCTGCTGATTTTGTTCTGCCTGATAAATGTTGATGGATAGTTATTTTCCAACAAAATATCGGTCAGCGTTCCTCTTTCATCTTCTAAAGTATCCTCGGTGCATATTCGTTGAATTCTGCTGAATAAGCACCTTACTAACGTTCGCTTGTACTGAACTGGGCAAAAGCTATGGTAATTCAGATATTGCCCTGTCCATGTAGGTTTTCTGTAGATAGATCGTTTTATGGATCCATCCTGCCTTCGACTAATTAATATATCTAGGAACGGCAAGCAGTCATCTTCATATATTAGTCGAAGGCAGGATGGATCCATAAAACGATCTATCTACAGAAAACCTACATGGACAGGGCAATATCTGAATTACCATAGCTTTTGCCCAGTTCAGTACAAGCGAACGTTAGTAAGGTGCTTATTCAGCAGAATTCAACGAATATGCACCGAGGATACTTTAGAAGATGAAAGAGGAACGCTGACCGATATTTTGTTGGAAAATAACTATCCATCAACATTTATCAGGCAGAACAAAATCAGCAGAGCGTCAAAACTAGAACTGAAGTCAGTCCCAAAGAAGGATGTCTTCATCAGCCTTCCGTACAAAGGTGACTCTCAGAGTGCAATCCTTAAGCAGAGACTTAACGCTGCTGTTAGAAGAACTTACTATGCAGCCACGGTTCGAGTAATCGAAACCACGAAGCCCTTATATTCCCCCAAACCCCCACAGCATGTGAACGATAATGTCACATCCCATTGTATCTACCAATTCAAATGTACGTGTGGTGACACATACATAGGGAGGACTAATAGATCCATGCAAGTAAGGGCCTCGGAACATATTCCAAAGTGGCTTCAGAAGCAAATTAAATCACCTGAACCTATAAATGTTGGTAGCAGACGTCCAAGTTCTTCGATCGCTAAACATATCGTTGAGACAGGTCACAAGATTGATGTGGCTACTTCCTTTACACCTATTTACAAAACATGTTGGGGAGGGATCCTGAAATCTGTTGAAGCCTTAGCTATTAGGAAGTTGAAACCACCTTTATGTATTCATAAACAATTTGTTGTCACATTAAACCTTCCTTGGTAAATTCAACTATTGAAAAACCAAGTTCGATGTACTATTATTTTTTCGCTCTATTGATTTTCATTGTTATTCGGCCTTTAAGTCAGCCTTCCTACCTGACCCCCTTTTTATTTTCTCACCCCTTATCTTCATGAGTTTTTATATAAATACCTATGACAAGTACGTGTGTGATCAGATAGTTCGAAATGTGTTGCGCAAATACATTACACGGTTCAGACAATTTACGTCTTCTTATTGTTTTGTCGAAAATTCGTTTTCAAAATTAAGATGAAGATATGAGAAAAGAATTCGGACAAATAGGTACAGAATAAATCAATTTGGTTATTTCTTATCCATCATTCAGTGAAACAGTATTATTTACTAAGGACGCTTTATACCACCTTGATATGATTATGAGCAATAAATTCCACTCGAAATGTCATCAGTAAACAATAATGTTGCACTGTGTTTACAGATAAGACGAACATAATATGTGGATGCATGTGCACCATTGACATAGACTCTGAACAATCTGAGCAAGAGTCGCAAACTACTACTGTCTCTTGTCACGTCAACCAAACCAACAAGTCTACACCTTCCCAAACCGTCAACAACAATCGAACACTTCATCCACTGATGCTATGCTTTAGTCTAACAGCAAATAACATACTTAAAGCCTACACATACTTCACACAAAATCGTCAGACGAGACACATGCTCACTACACGTTTGTTATACATGTTCCAGCCACCTATACGGATCAACCTTCACAATCACATCAACTAACTTCCCTCTCATCCATAAAACTCTACACTTGACTTCTGAAATACTCACGTCGTCATATACCATCTATGTACAAAGGCAACAGTGGTTGAATACCTCCAGCCCCCTCATGTCCTCTAGCTTCAATAGTCATGGTTCACAGATATACAGTAGAACTCAGTGGACTGAAGAACACTATACTAGGACAACAGTAGGAAATCCAATAACACAGAGGCACAATAAATCACTGATTGCTTGATCAAGGTCAAGTGAGCATTCCTATCTGTCCAGTGATTTCGTCGGTCACTCGCCCACCAGCAATCATCCGACTTTCACAGCAAATGAAGTGGTCAACGTGCTCAACCATTTCACTCCCAATTGTTAGACTCGGCAATATCGAAGAGCATTCCTAGAACAAATATTTGCATTCCACTGATGAGGAAAGCATCCCGAACATCCACAAAATCAAGCTCAACCCATCCATCAATAAGAATCTCCATCTTCACCTAACAAGACTATGTCATCTGAATAAACCAGATCTATCAGATATCCTCCCGTAATCATACCAATCACCACGAAGTCACATGACGAGAGAGACACCTCCATGAGTACGTCTATTAAAAAGTTGAATAAGAACACAGGGGTACACATTCTTGACGGACACCATTTAATGTACACATTTCAATCGACTACTCACCATAGACTCTAACATACACATACGTGTTCGAGTTCAGAGCTTTCGACAGAGACGTACTGCCATAAGACCACACAGTCGTTGAAATCGAATGCGAAATTCAGGTCAAGAAATGAAGATAGTTTCGAGTTCTAGCAACCATACTCGCGTTCTAGAACTTGACGAAGTGTTAATATATGCATGGTCGATACGTGCATCACCAGTTCTGAAACCTGCCTAGTTTTCTTGGATTTGTTGCTCCCGGGTATTACTTAGACGTCTAATAACTGAGGAACCTAGAATCTTAGACACCATGTTCGTCAGACTGGTTTCTCTGTCGTTATCACAAGACGACTTCTCGTCTTTCTTGAAGACTAAGATAATCAGTGATCATGATTAGTCACAGGGGATCATATGTGATTGCTATAACCCAGCCATGACTTCAGTAAACCTGATCAATAGTTTGTGACCACCACTCCACAATACCTCCGATATTAGGGTATCTAGCCCTGCTACTCTTTTGCATTTCAGCTTACTTGCAGCATATACAACTTCGGCAACAATTGAACGCCACATCTCACTGTTCCATTCATGATTCAACTGAATAGCAGGCAACGCAATAGTAGCTGGAGGCCAGTTGGACTCTTCCTCATAGTGTTACCGTCATTATTCCAGTTGTCACCTCAGCAACTCAATCACATACCCATACTTCTCCACTGTTGTCTCATTAACCATTGATAGTTTTGCTCTAGTTTCTTTCATAAGTCGAAACAGCTGTCTACTGTTATTTATTCCCGATACGTTTTACACCTATTCATCCTACATTTGACTTGCTTACGTTTCTTGTTGTGCTCAGAACCTGCATGAATATATTCGCCTGCATCCATTAGTTCACAAGGTGCTTCGATTCTGTGACTCAATGGCCCCTTTCTCAGGGTCTGTTATGATCTTTAAAGCTGTTTCTGTAGCAGACTGGAGATGGCTACAGGCTTCTTTTAGATGAGTGGTGTTCTGTTCTGATAACTGTCTAACCAGTTTCTCGCTGAAAGTAACCTTAGTATTCGCATCGTCGAAGTGCGCTCGGAATAGTCTTGCTGATGTAAGTTTTCGGCGTCCATTTAGATGCAGAGATTCGCGTTGTCGAACAAACATACTTTTTTTGAAGGAACGCAAGTTTTCTTGAAAGCTAGTATGCCGTTGATACGTTCCAACTGTTTACTCTATGGGACCTTATTTCCTAGAATATCTGAGAACACTTAATTAGTAAAGGGGATTTGACAAACACGAGTATAAGACGGAGGAAATCTGTATCACGAGGATCATATGATTTGAAAAAGAAGGTAAAGGCAACTAGAGATCTAAATGTTTCTCATCATTTCAAAGGGTGTTAAAATAGAAAAATTTATAAACAACATACAGAATCCCTTAATAGCACCTGATGCTGCAAAGTAACTTCGAGCAGTTTTTTATACTGAGTGACATGTGAGCTACATATACCGTTTACGACCATAAACAAAATACTGACCAGACATGCAAACAAAACCAGATGATTACAAAAGGATTCAAAACTATGAATCAGTAAGTGAAAAGTAAATTACAAACATTGACAAATCATGAACTCGTAGTCCAATCAAAAGTATTCAGTAATTTAAGAACTCAATTATCTGAAAGAAAGACAATTAAAAACTTACCAAGCCACATATACATACAAATACTGATTCGTAAGATGTCATAGCAATCTAGTGTTTTAAAGAGAAGTGTCATTAGGGGGATGAAATTTACTACCTACTTCAAGTCCAAAAATGTAGGGGAATGATTTCCCAGTTATTGGAATCCCCATAACGTGTGCAACAGGAACCCAAGGGATATCCAGAAAATAAGGCACAAAAAGCGGAAAAATTAAATTGAATCTATAGCCAAAATAATACCAAAGTGTCTGTAGAAACTCACGGTCCAGATGGAAGTATGTGAAGTGAAACATTTAGTTTCCGTAGAACAAAAGCCACCAACAGCTCAACCAGCGTTGTTGTAGTAGCACAATAGAATAGAAATGACTAAAACAAATGAATAAGGAAGAGTAAACACAAACATTACAACACAAGAACTTGCCAAAAATTTCCTTGGGCCATAACGTCTTTCAAATATTCGAAAATAGTACAACAATAAGCCGCCACACACTAAATCCTTTGTACTGAGAAAGGCTAACTGGCAAAATGCTAATCTCCACACCTGAAGTTTAATTTTAACGAATTTAAGGGATGACTATGGAATGCTAACCGATCCATTTTCAAATATATCATCCAAATTGTACGTAAATATATCTTTCTGCTTCGCAAATGGCATTAATAAAATGAAAGATAATATCACGCTGAACCCTAGAAGACATTTTGTAATAGTTGTTTTGTCTAAAAGAAAACAAGGTAAACATGAAACAACAATGAATTCAGAAAGTGAAATATAAAATCACATCAATACACTATGTAAGAGTGAGATGAAAAAAACCTGAGCGCAGCCAAATAAAAACAGTAGTGATCCATGAAGATGCTGACTGAGTTGTGGAGCTGTAGCTCACTAGTTAAGGGAAATGACTTTCAAGCAGTGGGTCACGAGTTAGAACCCCGCTTCATCTATCGAGAACTGGGCAGCTATATAGTATTATTATCCCACACAAAATGGATGTGGTTTATTCCCTAATGCACGAAGGTGAACAAGGCTGGTGAATGTATTTCGACTAGATTTAAGATTGAATGAGTTGTGGAGGTAATAGTACGAAAGTTTTAAATGACATGGTTCAAAAAGTCATACCTAGTCGAAATCTAATTCACATTTGTTCGATTGATACTTATTTTATGCCTTCCAATGCACTGACTGCAATTTATCTAATTAGTTTTGTCCCTTAGTTGACTTAGTTACTTTGAAAGTAACTATAAAACGTTGTAACGTGAACTGGTAGGTTTCCCACCATAACCATCATCATCATCATCATTATCAACATAGGACCAGGCATTACTGCGTAACGGTCCGAGTTGCCACACCTCATATCAGCACATCAAGTAAAAAGGTAGTGAGGTGAAGGATGAAGATAAGTGAATGCAGTCAAAAGAAATATAAAGTACGAGAAGAAAGGAAAGAGGAGTGACAAAATAGTGAGATTCGGTATAGCGTTGTTAAGATGAGGATAATGTGTGTATACATCTGCGCCACTGACTTCGGTTCTGAGCCATATCACCTAGGGTCTCCAACCACTGGTTCCTCTTGTCCCGTGGACCCCAACCACCTAGTCTGCATCGTCCTACATGGCTTAAACCAACAGTCAGAGACTTCATACATTGGTGCCATGTTTTAGTCTGGCCACCTCGGGCCTTTTTCCAGCCTGAACCCACCTCAGCCAACATTGTGTGACGAGGCAATCGGTGACTAGGCATACGTAGTACGTGTCCCAACCATCTCAGTCGATGAAGGTTCACAACCTCGTCGACTGACTTACCTCTTCTCCCTAAAACTCTACACCTAACTTCTGCATTACTCACATGGTGACACCACGGAATACGTCCTATACTACGAAGGCAACGGTGGTCAAACACCTGAACCTTTTGTCTTCCACTTTCAATGGCCATGTTTCACAGCCATACAGTAGAACAGAGCGGACTGCTGTGCAGTACACGCGACCCTTAATAGACAAACGAATATCACGGCGGCGCCATAGGTGGCGCAAATTGGCAAAAGCCAATCGAGCCTTTTGTATCCGTGCAGAAATCTCATCGGCAACTAACCCACCGGGTTGATCCTACTTCCCAGGTAAGTGAAGTGGTCAACACACTCAACCACTTCACTCTCTATTGTTAACCGCGGTACCGCTGAAGACCAGTCCTGGAGCAAAAATTTGCATTTGGGTGGTGAAAATCGCATCCCAAACATTCTCAAATTCCCACTCAAAGTGTTCAGAAGACTCTGCATCTTGTCAGCGTCTTCACCTAACAGGACTATGTCATCTGCATATTCTAGATCTAAGGAAAATTCACCTGTGATCGGGTCAACGTCTTTGTAATTAGGTGACGAGAGGGAAACCTCCATAAGAATATCTATGATAAAATTAAATAAGAATGGGGATAGTGGGCATCCTTGACGGACACCACTTGATGAGTATAGCTCCCTGGACAACTCACCATAGGCTCTAACATGCCCACAAGTGTTCGAGTAGAGAGCTTTCAATAAGGTGATGTACTTACTAGGCACGCCTTTCAGTGACAGACACTGCCATAAGACTTCTCGATCAACGGAGTCAAATGCCGCCTTCAGGTCGAGAAATACAGCTATTGTCGGGCGTCTGTAAGCATGCCTATGTTCCAGGACCTGGCGCAGTGTGAATATTTGGTCGATACATCCACGGCCAGGTCTAAAGCCTGCCTGGTTTTCTCGGGCTTGCTGTTCCCGAGCTCCACTCAGGCGTCGGAGAATTATAGAACTTAGGATCTTAGACACTATGTTTGTCAGGCTGATTCCTCTGTGGTTATCACAAGAGGACTTCTCGCCTTTCTTGAAGACTGGGATGATCAGTGACTTAGACCAGTCGGAGGGGATCGTATTTGATTCCCATATACTGGCTAACACTTCCGTTAGCCTGACTAAGAGAACTCTACCACCATTCTTGTATACCTCAGCAGGTAGTCCGTCTGGTCCTGCTGCCCTTCCCCGTTTCAGGCTACCTACCGCTTTCTCAACTTCTTCTAGTGTTGGGGGACCTGTCTCTATGTCCCATTCAGGGTCCGACTGGATAGCGGGCAGCGCAATGGTGGCTGGAGGCCAGTTAAACTGTTCCTCAAAGTGTTCTGCCCATCGTCCCAGTCGCCTTCCCTGCGAGTGAATCGCCGATCCGTCCTTCTCCGCTATAACCTCACTAACTGTTGTTGACCATTTCCCCCCAGTCTCCTTAATAAGTCTAAATAACTGTCTACTGTTACCGATCGCCGCTGCCTTTTCCATCTCTTTAGCCTTTGCTGCCCACCACTGTTCACGATCGTTGCGCAGACTTTTCGTCAGTTTATTTTTAAGTTGCGCTCGCTCTTCATTGTACTCAGAGCCTGCAGGGATGCATTCACGTGCATCCATTAGTTTGGAAGAAGCTGCTGATATCCACTGGCTCTTTTTAGCCATTATCTTGGAGTCGGCTACAGTCTCCAGTGCTGCTTTTACAGTAGACTGAAGATGGCACCAAGCTTCTTCTGGATGAGTGACAGTCTTTTGTTCCGATAACTGCCTAGCCAACTTCTCACTGAACACGGCTTTGGTGTTTTCGTTGTCCAGCAGAACTCGTAGTGGTTTTGTTGCCAAATTTTTTCTACGTCCATTGAGACGCAGGCATATACGTGCTCGGACCAACGCATGATCGCTGTCCAAACACGTACTCCAGAAGGAGCGGCAGTCTTCCACCGATCCTCTCCAGCGATGACTAATAGCAATGTGGTCTATCTGTGTCCATCGCTGAGTCGAGCTCGGTGGACGCCAGGTCAGACAGTGCCTTTCTTTATGTCTGAAATTTGTGCTGGCTAAAAATAGGCGGTTATCTGAGCATAGTTGTAATAGGCGATCACCGTTATCTGTACGTTCAGCTGGGATTCCGAAAGTGCCACCTAAGTGCCTTTCTGCCTCACTCAGTCTACCCACCTGTGCGTTGAGGTCACCTGCAACAACCACTACGTCCGAACGTTTGGCTTTCGAGAGGAGGTTAGACAGTTTATGGTAGAACTCGTCCTTCACTTCATCCGAACTACAGTCAGTGGGTGCGTAAGCAGAGATTACAAAGAGACAACGGCGAGTCTCACTATTCCTTTTAGTTCTCACTGTGCCGTTCAGCCTCATAGCGCAGAGGCGACTATCAACTGGGATCCAGTCTAGTAGTGAGTTTTCTGCCCTGGTGCTTAATGCTATACCTACACCTGCAAGACCACGAGAGCTAGCTATCGAATCTCCAGAAACTCGAAGGGTGAATTTTGCAGATTCACCAGATTGGTCAGGAGAGGTCAGGTGAATAACCACACTTGGGTCCTGTATGCGTGTCTCACAAACACAGCACACATCCATGCCCGAGTTGCTAGAGTCTTTGCCAACGAAGCCTGTTGGCCAATTTGACGGAGGGTGCGGACATTGAAGGCTCCAATATGTAATTTGGAGCGTGGTTTAAGGAGACCAGGGATGCTGTTCTGTGGACTCAGATCGTTGTCGAAGGCTGCAGAGGTAGGAGAAATTGAAGATGATGCAGCATCATTAATTAAGAGACGTGAAGGAAGATTAGAAGGTAATGATGGAGGAGGAGGATAGCAGTCAGAAGAAACTTGGGTGCTGACAGAGTTGTGAGGGCGGTTGACACTTCCCGGCTGCCCACACCGTGGAAGGCTATTTCTTCTTAAGGTACCTGAAAGAGATTTGTGTGACCGCAGAGCCCATCGGACATCTGCTTGAGGCCTGTCACACCCAGCCTTTTGAGTATGATTATTTTGAATTTTTGTATTTTTGGGGCCGGATGAGCGAAAGGAAACGACAAGTGAACCAACACCGCCGGCCCGGCAGACCGTGGGGCGTGGTGGAGTGTGTTATTTTTGGGGCCGACCTTTTCTAACCCCCCCTTCCACTGAGAAGGCAGCATCAGCTTGGCACTGCTGGTCATCCAAGGGAAACACCTTACTGCTGTCACACCCCATCCAGCTAGCAGCAGTACGACTTCGCCCTCAGACCCCCATCATAGTGTAGCAATTTACACTATAACGGTAACTGCTTTTCGTCTAACCACTACCCAACAGACCTTTCTGGTATGGTAGGACCTCGAGGGAACAAGCGTTCCACCAGCATAGCTCGTTGGGTCATTGTGATATGCAAGCCCGACCACCACGTCAAGGTAGCAGCTATAACCAGCGCTGTTTAAACCACGAGATGTTGCGAGATTTAGATAGCACAGAAGTAGTAGTTGTTGTTGTTGAAGAATACCTTTCAGTTAATTACAAGATTGAATGAATTAGTATTCACTGATTGGTTGTAAATTTGCCTAGATATTGTCCTAGATCGTATCTCGATTATACATAGACGGAATGAAGTGAGTGGAAACAGAATAAAGTCAGAACAAACAAAAAATAATGACAATGAAAGCAGATCAGTTGAAATTTTCAAAATCTGGATTATCACTAAGAGTGAATACATCTGTATAATTGTCACAAAACATTGAGCTATTTCACCATGGGTCTACAACCACTGATTCCTGACACCTTGACAACTGCAACCAAGCAGGCTACATGGCTGAAATGAATGATATCATGGGATGATACCATGTCTGGCCATCCTAAGCCTTTTTCAACTCATTCCAACACCAGTTAGTACTATATGATGTAGCAGGCGGTCTCTCAATATGCTTGGC